ATCCACTTTCTCGACTGAAACTGAAATACTACACGCCTCATGCCACAAACTCACGTTTCCTGGTGATGATTCAAATGCACCTTTTTCCTGGAAGGACTCATGTGGAGACTCAAATTCAGACCAGGTGTAGTAACAAAGAAGATATGTTGAGAGCTCATCAATATACGCTTGTTTCTGAGCGCAATTTTTTAAACTTTTTTTAATCTGACACTTAAAATGGGCAACTTTAACATTTTATCCACTGACCAAATGTTTTCAAAAACACTGAAAGTACAAGGCTGGGGTCCAGGATGCCAGTCCGTAGCAGGGTGCATGAGCACTATCGCACCCTACAGGCAGGGCAGAGACAGCAGTTAGCCTAACTGCATGTCTTTGGATTGAGGGAAAAAAGCAGTGTGACACAGGGAGGACACACACACACACACACACACACAGTGAGATATTAACACCCACCCTACAAAGTAAGCCACTTAACGCAATATACCTTTTTTTTGTATATATGTATCTGTTTGTCAGTTTTGAAGAGTACGGTTTTGCTCATACTTACTCCTTTTTTGTAATTCTGCTGGGCAAACAAATGTGCTCCCTGGGGTATCATTACATTTTAATTTTACCACTAACAGGATATGATGGACATACTGCCACCACGTGGCTGACCTGTGTATCAACTTTTTAATCAAAAGTTTCATGTCCAGTATTCATGTTCTCAAGCTGAAGTTTAGTTGCTGGGATCTTTGTTTTTGGAGCATTATCATGATCTATATGCTACCTGCATAGGAAATAATGAATATGAGGCATATAAGTTAATTTCACAAATTATCTACAGGTTTCACAAGTACGAAAATGCACAATACGTGTATAGGTCTAATCATGTCTTTCGACCACGAGCTTTGATGTATTAGTTGATGGGTTCTGTGGCTTTGGAGCATTAGGATTCCCGATGTAGAAAAGCAAAGGACATGTTGGTTTAAATTAATATTTAAATTTATTTTATTAAATTCCTTGTTATTCCATTTTGAAACCATTTTGATATGTCAGTGACTGTCTATAGCTAAGTGAGCGTATGAATGCACACCAAGAGCTAGATTATATCACATTTTCACATTTTATTGGATGTAGTAATTGAATAAGCAATATATGTATGCAATTTCACAAACATACACGAATTTGTGAATGTGGGGCTTGTCTATTTTTGTAATGTTTTAACACAGTAAATACAAGATCTGTGAATGCGTGGCGAATATCGAACCCACTAACCCACCAACTTTACTCCGGTCGAGTACCAAACAGGAACAAAACAGAGCAAGACTCCTCGTGGCACCAAATAGCCATTAATGGTGTGACGTTCGCGGGGAACGAGTCCCTTACAGGAGGAACTACACACCAACATTCACTTCCTTGCAAAGATTCGTTCTTTTTGTTTTTTCCGCTTGTTCTCAGAAATATGACGTGAATACTGCTTTCCTTCTCATCCATGGCCAGTGAGAGTCAGAGAGACATGTAAGGGCGGGCTGTGAACCTAGGACTTAACGTATACGCCTACAGTGAACAACTGAGAAACTGTGTCCGAATTTAGGGGCTGCGTCCTTCGAGGCTGCGTTCAAACTCCAAATGCGTCACAATTGTGCGACAAGGGCATCCCATTTGGAAAGTTCCTCCAAATTTGGTCTAGAAATGCGTCCTTCTTTTCCCGTTCCGCGTAGGACCCACTAAACGGATCCTTCGTAGCCCAACATATACCAAGATTCATTGCGCAGAGGCAAAATGGGTGTCCCGGCTAAGCGATAGGAGCAGCACTTTGTGACTCAAGAATTTTTTTTCTGGAACAGGGACTTTTGTGTTCATCGCTATAGTTATGTGACCATACTGCGTAGCAGAAACACGGAATTGAGTTCATTATGATTGTTATGAAACAGTGTTATTTTTGCATGTTATTTTATTTTGCATATTAATTTTTACTGTCTCAGGTTTTTCTATTCAGTCATAAAACACAAATTAAATAGTTTCACTGCTGTACCGAAATGGCACTGCGTACCCAAGCAGATAGCTGCGCTCGACTAGGTGTGAGACTGAAAAAGTCTCTGCACACCCTTACTTGTTCATGATAGTGTCAGATAGCACCGTGCCAGACTCGTGCCTGTCAGTCCCTTAACAAAATCTGCAGTTACGTGCTCAGAAAAGGACAGCTGTTCGTGTATCATTACCCCTAGGTTCCTGGCAGACGCTGATGGAGACCGTGTGAATGATCCAAGCTGAACAGTAATGTCACGGTGGATGGTAGGGCCGGCAGGGGAGACAAGATGCTCAGTCTTGGGGAGATTAAAGTGACGCGATGGTCCCTCATTCAGGCTGCGATGTCATGCAGAAATCCGAGCTAAGATTGTAGTGTCGTCAGGACTCAAGAAAGAAGGTCAAGTGGATCTGGATGTCATCGGCGTAATAGTGGTAGGACAAGCCATGCGACAGAACGAGCTTACCTAGAGAGGTAACGTAAAGAGAGAAGATTTACAACTAAATAGATTCCTCACCCTTACCCTCACTCTCACCCTTATACTAGTGCAGCCAGAGGAATGATGAACGTCGCGTCTCCTGTTCATACTCCACAACTGTAGGGGGCGGTGTGCGTGGTGCGCTAGTTTTCCACAGCTTTAGAAATGTATAGAAAAAGAATCAATTGCGTGTGATTGGTTAAAAAAAATTGTGCAGCGCGTTTTTCACGTCACTGTTGAAAAACGTACAAACTGAATTTTAAACTAAATTGTAACAAATTTAAGTACAGTTTTCGAGGTTTGTAACAGATATTGGAATGACTTTGGAAAAATGGAGGAAAATATGCTGCAGTTTTAAATGTAAGTAGTTGTTAATTTGCGGATACCCTATTTTCTGCACTTTTTATCGATAAAACTTAACAGGAGAGAGTGGTAGAAACAGTATCGACTGTCGTTAAATAGCCGACATCAATCTTTAAAGTGTATTAACTTATCTTTTATTTATTTTACCAAAGTAGGTAACCACATAGTTTATCCATACAACTAATAAGCGTGTTTGTAACTTCGGGTGGTTAGGATTTGTTTAACTGTGAGCAGGCTGACGAATATCGTTTGAAGATGTGTTAATTATATAATTAAAAGGTTTTATTCTCCTCGAATTTGTAGTTTATTGGCTGTATTTATGTGTGAAAGAAGGCCTAATACGTTGCTTTTAGTACGCATGCCAGAGCAGGAATTTCTCCAAAACGCGAAAGCTGAAGGCTTTATTATTATTATTATTATTATTATTATTATTGTTGTTATTATTGTTGTTATTATTGTTACAAGCAGCTGGCTTAATGAATGTTAATTTGGGAAATGTCATAAGAGTCAGGGAAGTCTCGGTACANTTATTGTTGTTATTATTGTTACAAGCAGCTGGCTTAATGAATGTTAATTTGGGAAATGTCATAAGAGTCAGGGAAGTCTCGGTACACGGAACAGTATTTCATGACCCGTGGTCGACGCCTGACTTCAGCAAAACAGCATTCGGGGAAGCCCGGAGTGGGCGGGGTGGCGGTCGCCGTCGGTCGCAGCCCGAGCTGTATCGTAGCTTTTCGGGTCTTCAGCTACCTGGCTCACTGCTTGGGATTCCCATCTAATGAGGGGAAAAATAACTAAAATAGTTTTACTTCCTCATCTTGATTCTTGTTGCCAGTGAATTTGAAATACAGGATCGACCACAGGGAGTATTGTTATTGACTATTAATGGATCCCTAAAGGGTGGTAGTGACAACTGTTCTCAAAACTGAAATAATCAGAATCCACTCTGTTGGTCACTTTTTAAAAAAATGAAAACTGCTTCAACAGTCCATTCCATGTTTTGGAGGACAGGCATGATGCTGATGTAGGATAAAAACCAGTTTGTTTTGTTATGACAATCTTACAGTCCTCTTCTGGTGCAGTAGTTCATTGTTTCTGCTACACTTGCTCCACAGATTCAGCTCTGTAGTGAAGCAGAACTCTAGTTTGGTCCCAGTCTGCTGCAGAGCTGACCAGCCTCGACCAGGGGAAGTCACCGTGTGCACATGCCTCGCAGGCCTCGGCCGCCTCTCTGCGTGGGTACCAGTCCCCCCAAGCAGATAATTCAGCTTGCCTTTGGTGAATCGACCCATGGAGCCTCACGCTTTCCGCAGGGTGGAAAATGCGACGGCGTGCTTGGTAGCTGTGGCAGGAATGTTTCTGAGGTGCCAGAGAGACAGTACCCTAACAGGAGGGATGCAGAGCACGGGGAGATGATGGAGGGCAGTGCCGGCACCAAGAACAGCAGCGGCAGCATCGTCATCAGCGACGAGGACACCCAAACAGACACTCTGGGCAGCAATGAGGCTTACTCCATCAGTCTCCTGGAGGATGACGGATGCACAGACAACACGCTCTGGATTCTGGAGAATGATGGATTCCCGGACAGGAAGACAGTGGTTTGTTTATCCAGCGATCAAGGGGCGGGAGCTGAGTTTGGTGGGACTGTTGAAGACCTGGACGATTCTAGTGAATCCCTGTCATGCTGGTCCACTGCATCCGGCCCCTCCCTTGCTGTGGAGCACAGTCCTGCAGTGCTCTGCAAAGACTGTGTGAAGCTCTTCAGAAAGATGAAGAAAAGGAAGAACTGGAAAAACACCATTGACTATGGTGAGCTTGCAGATAAATTGTTTTGTTTACAACTAAAGACTGCTGGAGGAGCTTCCGCTTCTGATTGGTTCAGCAGTTTTACATAAAAAAACAAAAATCACAGAATTTCTGCTATGCTTGAACACACAATAAAATGTTTCCATTTTCCCAACACAATGTATTTGCCAATTTTGTGTGTATTATCCCAGTTTTTTGATATCCTGTTGGACATCATAGTCCTTGTTAAAAAAAGGAGTACTTCAGATGTGTGTTCCAGTTAACATTTCGTATTTTATGTGGTTTATTTTAAAATATTCCCGTTTACCACCTTTGCTATTCACAGATCCTACTTCCTTATCATGTGAAATGTGGGTTCTGAAAAAAAGATGGCACCCAAGAAGATTTCACAATGTCAAGGGGTATGTTCAGAATCATTTCCAAATGGCAATGCATTTGTCAGAGTTACTGCTTCACGGTCACCTTTCCTATGGGTACGTCTGTTGTGAAGTAGCATTTGTTGGTCTACAAGCAGAGTCACTGAGCTTCAAATAACATTGCGGACCAAGCCTGTGCATCATGGTGTCCCACTCTTCAGTGTTTGAATGTTTGATTTCCAGAAAGTTGTGGGCACATTTAAGCCGAATAAGGAAGGCTAACTTGAGCAACGGAGACCCTGTAGGGACAAAAAGGTTTTGCTCAAGACCCCCTGTGTTTCTACAGAGGTATGATATATAGTCCTTATGTTGTTTTATGTTATTTCTATGTTTTGGTGGTGAGTTCCACTTGGTTTTTTAACTATAACCTGCCTTTTTCTGAAACCTATTTTGGAGTTGTTTGCATCTCTAAGGTTCTGGTGTCCTGTGTATCTCAGGAACCTGGCAAGGTGCAAGTCAGTCCCGGTCCAGAGCAGGCGGCAGGTGAGGGGGCCGAAGACGCTCCAAGTGGCCAAGCGCAGACGCCTTCAGAAGAGGAGCAGGAGGAGGAAGCCGTGCCAGTCGAAGGGATCGGAGTCCCTTGCAGCCTCTCTGCCCACCGGCTCGGACGCGGGTGTCTGGGTGGCTGACAGTGGTATTGGACAGGAGCTGGACAGGGCTCGCCGGGTGCTGGACTTCGATAAGACTGAGCCTCTGGAGCCGAGTGGCGGGTCTCTGGGCTGCAGTGCCACTCAGTTGGGCACTAAGAGCTCCTCGCCGTGTAAGAAGTCCCCAAAAAAATTTTCCTGGGTGGGAGAGGGGGGCTTTAGATCAATGCTCTCTGAGCTCCAAAAGTGCAGAAGCACTGTTGTAGAAGAACTTCACAACTCCATGTCTTAGTAAGTTTAATTGGTTTTGCCTAAGCACGGGTTTGTGTATTAAATGCTGATCAAATTGTGTTAGAACCTGGATTGATGAAGCTGTCTTTTTATAGTACTGGATTTGTTTTGCTGTGGAAATGGGAGATGGCAGTCTTAATAAACTAGACTAATTTGACAGTCAGTTATGAATATTTTTTGTTGAACCTTGGCTAACATTTGCACCTTTGATTTCCAGTACAGGGCAGTAAGTAGAGGACCTTGTCACGTACGTAGTAAGGCAGCCATTCTCTCAGAATTAACACAATTCAGCTCACTTGTTTGTTTGCAAGTATAGCCTGGGTTTTGTTATGCTGTTCAGTAAATGATCTAATCCAAATTGACGTTGCATAGCTGCCGGATTTGCATTTCTTGCCATGTATGGAAGTCAGGCCTGCAAGGTAACCAAGCGATTGTCAATTGACAGGTTGACTGACGAATCCATTGTTGCTAATATATTGTGCATTTTTTTGTTCTTTGTTAATATGAGGTCCTCTTGTTAGATTTAAGATTAGAAAGGCTGACAGAATCAATGCACGCATACAAATGCGGATTCCTCTAACCTTAAGCCCAGGAGGATGGTCCTGTAATTATATGGTAATTAAAACGAGCCTTGTCAGTCGCAATTAAAACAAAGAAGCACCCTCGTAATTGTTATAAACGACGGTGTTTGATTCGATTTGTAAGTAAGAGAATGAGTTAGGTATTGTATTAATCATTTAAGCCCTAATTATCTTACCATCATAGCCCTCAAAGCAGATTCGCTTAAATTACTGCACGAACACGTTTAACCTCACGGGGGCGCCAGTTCATCACGGGTTTTTGCCGCCTTGGCTCAGGAACGCTACGGTTTGTAGGGATTCTTCGGGAATAGCAGATAACTGTGCGGTGGATTGATTTGCAGTGAACCATAAATTAAAAATCGAAATTTCGTCTAAATGTGAAGATCGTGTTAATTGTGTAGCCTTTTAAATTTACTGGCCATTTGGGAGCTTTGATGTCAAAATTCAATTATTCTATTGCAGCTCTTTATAAATGGTGTTTTCATGAAAGATGACAGTCACTGAAATGCATATTTAAAAATGCGGGAATTGGGTAGGCCTATACATACTTAGTAGTCATATTGTAAACCAATCAAATCCCACATTTTGAAAATACAGCAGTTATCTCTCTTCTGAACATGTTATAAGTCCTGCACAATTTGCAAACCAGATTTCTCTAAAATGCATCTGTAAAAACAAGTTATTGTTGAGAAAGCAAATTTGGACTTTAATGGGTTAAAATAAAGTTGACGTATGCTTTCGCTTAAAAAAAAATAAATGGCATGGAATCGAGCATATCACAGGCGCACAAGTCCTTGGCCGAACTTCAGAAGGAGAAGTATATAATTCATTCTGCAAAGTCGCACCCTTTCGTTCTGGCGCTGACAGGCGGACGCACTTCGCACTGTGGGAAAGGACTGAACATCTGTACGAATCTGTACAGATCACGAAATAAAAATAGCCATGCAGTATTAACATCAACCACTGTTTTTACGCTAAAGACAAAATGAGACATTTTCCCAAGACAAGTACACGTCTGTAATCGCTTTATAGCGTCACTTAGGAAAAGTCTGAAGAGACAGAGAGCCAGTAAAGGGCTAAGAGGATTTGAGTCGACCAGTCAGCCAACAACGCGATTACATTTCCTAATCAAGGCAGACTAAGAAAATTAGATCGACACTTTTGTTCAGCACTGCCGGGCTGTTTTTAGGTAGGTTAATCCCAAAACTCTTACTGGAGTTTGCACGTCTGGATGAGCTGAGCATCAGAGAAGTTTATTGCTGCCTTATCGGAATCCTTTGGGACTTCGCCGAAGAGTCTGAATATTTTAAAATTCCGCAGCCGAGTGGAGGACAATACCGTAGCGCAAATGAAAGGGTAAGGTGCTCTGAATTATATATACATGTGTTACAATGGATTAATAATACAGCCTGATCAGAAATCGTCGGTTGCGCCAACCACGTATATAAAACGATTGTGCGCAAGGAATCCCATACAGTATGATTAGCAGTGTTTAGTTTAAATGTGGCTTAGGTTACTGCTGTTATCTTCGCTTTCATTTGCCCTAAAAAGCAACTCTGTTCACCTGTTTCCCCCTCATTCAGTTAACCACAGCAATATGGTGTGTCTGCTTGCGGGGACTACCAAATCTGCAAAAGTGGATTTATGCCCTTCTCAAGCGAAAGAAGTGGTTTAACGGAAGCCAGCAAAGATGAGAAGGCAGAACTCGTTCCTGATCTTTTGGTGCATGCATCTGGTGAGTTACATCCCCGCTGGGCTGCTGCCTGCGTTCGGGTTCATAGAGGGTAATGCTGCTTTTTATACGAGGTATCAAGGCAACGTTATTTTTCTGACTCTAGAAAACGGGGGTTTCGTATTTTAAGGCAGTTGCTTACTATCCTGAACATAATTTTTGTCCCTGTTAACTTTTTATATTTTGAAATTGTGTCTTAAGAGTTACGAATTAATCCGTACAAACGCGGAGTAGTCTATTTTTGATACGCTTCTTTGTAAAATTGATTGTAAAATTGAAATTTAAAAATCCCCGAGTGAATCCATTGGCACAAAACATATTTAAGACCCAATATCCAAGAGTGTCGGGATTCAAAAGAATTCATTTAAACTATTCGTGAAAATAATATTAATTATATAGGCTACACGCTTTAGTTTGATATGAAGGCGCTCGCAATTGAACTTAAGCTATAAACTGGAGTATTAGATTACATTTCAGTATATGCAGACAAAGCGCACTTATCTTTGTGGGGACTTTAATTTTTTATTTTCCGGTTAGATATGATTTTTTTTGTAGTTATATGACTAATAATTTGTAATAACCACAAAGTGTGGTCAGTCGAAGTTGGTCATCATTGTTGCGTTTTTCCACTACCTGGTTTTGAAGAACAATATTCGAGACATCCCGTTGGGACATATTTATTTTTATTTTATATTATTATCAAATGTTCATAGTGAAGTTTAAAATTGCATCAATAATAGGTATAACCGTAGTAAAATCGACACATTTAAAATACGAGTTGCATTTGCTTGTAGCTCATTTCGTTTACATGCTAATAAAAGTGTCTGAGAAAGAAATCTGAAAAAAATTAAACTGGAGAATTGCCCCTCTGAAATATTGGACTAAATACTTGAAATCCCTACATACAGGCATGTAAAAATACGAGAGAACAAAGTGTTCTGTCTTTAGGAGGTTAGGCGTGAGATGCTTGCCGTCTATGGGGTCACCCTGGAAGTGTGTAAACGCTGCCCGTTTAATATGCGTTTCGTTGGAGAGTCCTGCCTTGTTTTGTGGCGTGCGCAAACTTCTGGTGATCTTTGTGGATCTCTGCGTGAACACCATTTGACTGGAGGAAGGTTTTGTACGAACAGGACACTGACTGGAACAGAATCTGTTGGTACTGGAGAAATCTTTAGTGTGATGTGCTGTTGAAGTGTATAGACTGTTTCATTCTCAAGCATCAAGCGTTTGTGGTAGGAAAAGAGATTTTATGCTCTGTACAAAAGATGCTTTCAAGTAATGCCCCTTTTCCCCTTGGCTTGGTATCCTATGAAGGATGAAAGTGACCCCCCCTTCATTTCCTCTACATTGGCGCTGCTTTGCCTTCTCTCGGCTGAGTTGTACACGATTCCAGGTCGTCTTTTTCCCCTATTTCCTTGTAGGTACTCCGTACAGGTTGAGATTTATGTGAATATATTTATTGCAGAGACTGTGACGTTCCTTCTTTTCTGGGCTCTCTTTCGGAAGGAACACGGGCGCTTCGCCACAGAGGATCCATGTTCCCCTAAAGCAGGGGTGTCAAACTCCAGTCCTGGGGGGGCAGAGCCCTGTGTAGCTTAGTTCTTTCCCTGTTCCACCACAAATGATTCCGCTGAAGAGCTGTGTGGTAGGCTAATTAGCACAAGAAGTTGAATCAGGTGTGTTAAATGAAGGTAAACCAAAAACTGTGCTGGGCTCCGGCCCCCCAGGACTGGAGTTTGACACCCCTGCCCTAAAGCACACTGACCTGCCTTGATGAGGCTGTGTTATGCTACTGCCTCCACGGTAGACCTCCAGGGGGCGCTCTTTTCAGCCCTATCTGTCCATTACATCACAAACCTCATATGGCCCTCCTAAATCTTGCGTGCAGGGCATTGACTGTTCTTGCTCAATTTGCTTGAACATTTTTATTCAAAGCAGCTGGAACGTCTTGGTAGCTGATTAGAGCTCTGTGCCGGCAGTATTTGCTTTGGTCAACCCATTCCTTCCTTATAAGAAAATAGTTTCAATGATGTGTTTCATCTTATTTCATGTCAGTTTGATTGATTTAAAAAAAAATCTTTTTAAAAGCAATTTTTCCATGCAAGACCTATTCACCAAATGTGTCAAACCTCTGGTTTTGATAATTGATGCATAATCAATAAATGGATGGAATTAATTTTGCTTACTGGTTGCAAATTATTGAGCCTAGTTAATAATTATAACTGTATAAGAGTTATAGCATTTTTGAGTGTTTTGTGCTGTTTCTGGTGTTTATTATCAATACTGTGAATGTTTCCTGTCACCAAGTTGCCTTTGTTTTAACTACATGCTTTATTTCAGTAATTTTGAAGAATGTTGCCGTGAAATGCCCATTAGACCGTTTAGTTCAATTCTGGTTGGATCCTGGGGAAGCAGTTTACCATCCACTCTGCCTGATGTTGGTGTTGAGACCCACATGTAGCCCGCGCTGAAGCCGGGGCTGGCCGGTCACACTGGTGTGCAGATTAGCGGCGTTCTGTTCCACGTCACTGATCCCAGGGCAGTTTGGATTAGCGCCCGGCCATGTGACGCGAGCAGCGAACGGAGCAGAGACCACAGCAGAGTGGACAGCAGCGGCCGGGGGGAGGGGGGAGGTAACTCCTCCAAGCTGCCTGGACTGTTTACATTGGGAGGAACCACTCAAACACCACTCAAATGGCTCTCCATGTGACAATCCACCTAACGGAAGATGACCACTGGCTGTCAGTAGATCTCCCTCTTGTGACTCTGTTGCTTTGATTATAGATTATGTATGAAAGTCCCCGCTTTTTTCTCACCAACGGTTACTGCGTGTCTTACCGGTGGGGGAGACCATAAACCATCTTCTGTAACATCACCCTGGCGTGCCGTAGGGTTAGGCAGGACATCAGTTGGTGTCTAGGGACCGTCTTCAAAGTACCACTTCATTAATTCCTTCTCCAAAGGCTCTGTCTTCACTTCTGTTCCTTTCAGTTTCCTAATATGTGTGTTTCTTTATTGTATATGCAAAGGGAACCCAAACACTGAAAAGAATAATAAAAATATACCAGAGGGAGATTAAGAATATGGCCTTAATCCCACACTTCTGATAATATGGAACAGGCTGATCGATTAGTTTTTCAGGAAGCTTATGTCAAAAAAATAAAAAAAATAAACGGCTTGGCCTTGGGATTGTGCCAGCCTTGTAAGGTTTTTCTGCTCTGGTACTTTATCATCGCTGTGAATTACAGAGCTGCCGGGCTGTGATAAGAGCGTGTCGCTTTCTGAGCCCCGGACCCTGGACAATAAAAACGCTGTTTATATTCTAGAGGGCCGCCGCGGGCCAGGCTTCCCGTTCACCTTCCTCTATAGGCTCGGCCCGCTGAAAGGGCTGCAGTGGCTGAGACTGGAAGACAGGGGGCGCCCTGCCAGTCTTAATTGGCCATGAATGCAAGATGGTCTTGCCATCTAAATATGGAAACATGTCTGGATTCTCTCTGCCTTTTGGCAGGTATTTATGTGTTCATATTGGGGTCACGTTCTATTGCGGGAACACTGGGTTCTTTAATCCAAAGTTCCAGGCAACACTGTGAGAGCTGCAGCTGGAAGGAATGTTATATGAGCTGCTTCTGTTAAGTGTTGAAAACAAATCTTTGTTGATTAATTCCATGATGATTGGTAATAAGGGTAAAATGTAAGTAAATTGGCTATATTGTCTATTTTAGTTGTGGCTATCAAAGCATTGTGAAATCCTATAAACACATCAGTATAGAAACAGTCGTCGTCATAGTCCCAATACCTTCAATGATTATATGAGATATATAGCAGCAGAATGTATGGATTGATATATGTGACTGTCATATCCCTGTAGTTTAGATGCATGAATCCTGTACCGTATAATCTTCAAACTAAATGCATAGTGTTTTAATGAAGCTTATTGTAAAACAGTGAAAATATGCAAACATTTTTCCGGAACAGATTTGTGCAATTAACACCGATAGACAAATCAGTCTTTCGAAGCATCAAATGCATGTTGACGAAGATTGAAAGAATATGTGGATTGAGTGCTGTACAGCTATAACGATCCAGGTGCATTCAGATGGTCTTTAATTTCACTTAATTAACCAGTCACAGAATTTAGAAAATGAGTGTTCTAGCTGATAATGACTGCAATAACAATGAGCTGTGAAGATACACTCTCTACTCCAGGCTCTGATGAAATGGGTGAATGCAGATGTTACAGGGATATTAATCTGTGCTTTTAATAAATGAATGGGTGTATTTATTTTGATTTTTGAAGACATCTTGGCTTCATACAGACCTGCTTGCTGTCTGTTTAGCGAAACTTCCTATTACTTGTAAATGCACAGAAAGGGCAGTACACAGGTTCTCGAGCACCTAGACTCCTGTAGATTTCAGCTCTTATCGGACTTGGGGAGCACATTCAAATTTCCCTGATTTACAAATTGGTTAGCATGATATACCTACCCTAGAAGCTGGATCAGTTTTCTCGGTTCCTTCCTCAATTTAATTGGCTCTGGGTCATGTCAATCACAGAATGCGATTTTCCCAAATACATGTTATGTGATGCGACTATAATTTTAGTAGTTCTCAGAATTGCATGAAAATACACATAATTATTGTGAAATTTTATGAATGCTGGCACTTCGGATGCTCTCAGAACAATCAACACACATTGTTCCCGCTGAAAACTATGAGGTTGTTCATGGAGATGGGCTTTGGGCTGTCTTTGGGCTGTCTTTGGGCTGTCTTTGGGCTGTCTTTGGGCTCTCTACATTAGCGTGAGCAGCGTTAGCTCATCAAGATGCAGCTGCCTGATCTCTGGTGAGTGTTTAGCAGTGAGTTTGCTCAGCTTGTTCTCATCCTGTAAAATTCTTACCCTAGAGGGAAATCACAGGAGCTCACACTCTGCATTTTGGAAAATGGCAGCAAAAAATACCTAACAGGTAAAGATGGACGATCTTCGTCACATAGATAAATTTTTG